TGCTCCTTGCCATAGACTGCAATGGAGAAAGATCTGGAATGAATAATACCAACTCTTTCAGGGGAAAAAAAAAATCTTCAGTCCCTAACATGTCAGATCTAGCCTATCCTTAGAGGTGATACTGGCTTAGTTTTCTCACTGCAGAGAGAGGAGACAGAGACCCAGAGAAGGGCAGATAGGTGTCCCTGGCCATCCAGCTGTTGAGATGTAGAGCTGGAGCTGGGACTCCGTGTTTTTCCCACCATGCTGACTGCCGCATTGTGATGGGAATGGCAGGGAGGGGAGTGATGGTAGGTGGGGTGTCGGGCAGTGGGGTGGGGGTGTGGGGGGGGTTTGAGCTAACGGGAAGTTGTTTGCCAAAACTGTGTGGGGGGAAGGAGCATTTTACAAGACCAGGGCCTCTGGCCTGGAAACATCTGTTTCCCTTCAAGTTAGCGAGGAGACTTTTGCCTCCCCAGAATGCCTAAATCATGTGGCGGCTGGGGAAGAGCAGGCGTTGGTCTGGAGACTTCAAACACATTCTCCTGTACTCTCGGGGACCTGGGCCTGATGTGGGCCTCTGGGGCTCTATCCCTGCTCTTACCCCCTGTCAGATCCGTGAGAAGCTCTCACCGCCAATTAACTTCTCAGTTTCCTTCTCTCACCCCTGCTGCGAGGGGGTCTGGGGGTCTTGGATGGGACCAACAACAGCTTCCTCTCCACCCGCTCTCCTCTGATTTCCACTAGGACAACTTCTTCTGGATGTCTAGCGGGGTGGGGGTGGGAGGTGGGGGAGGGGTCAGAGCCTTGTGCAGTGTCATAATAACAATACTATTGATAATAATACCTGCAACTGTCTCTCATAGAGTATTTGTGCATGCCAGGCATCATAGGGAGCACTTACCCACACCTCTCTTTATTCCGACAACGACCCTATACAGTGGATTTTAATATCATACTTCCTATTTTACAGGTGAGTAAAAGGGCCTCACACAGTCAATAAATGGGGAGCCAGAATTTAAAACCAAATTGCCTGATTACAGGTTCATGCTTTTAGCCATTCTGTCACTCTATCTCTTACAATGACTCTTCAAGCAAATCCCCTTTTGTTCATTTCACAGATGGAGAAGTGGATTTCCAGACAAGGGAACTACTCTTCATAGTTGATTGAATCATTCATTCAGTCTTTCATTCCTTCTGGAAAGTACTTGCTGAGCATTGCGTGATTTAGGTGTCTGAGCACCAGATGTAGGTGGGTGGATAGAGACGGGCCGAGCCAGATTCTGATCCTGAAGATACGTACTCACAGGGGCGAGAGAGAAGCATATGATCACTGACCCAGGCATGCAATATGTATGGTCACAGGGCACCGTGGGCAGAGAAAGGTTTACTAGAGGAGACGAGGTTTGACTGATGCTCCAAGGACAAGGTAGGAAGGGTCAAGTGGAGAAGGGGAAGGATGAGCCAGACAGAGGGTGTAGCATGTGCAAAGGCCAAGAGGTAGAATCCATGTTCTGGAACCATTAGCAGTTGGATATGGTTCTACTATGAAACAGAGTAGGAAGCAGACTGGTAAAACAGGCTGGGTGTGTGGCCAATGTTAATTTGAGGTTCAGTGATACAGTACTGTCTGACGAGTGAAGATCAAGGAGCTGCACTGGGAGCCTATAGGAAGGAGTTTGGATTTAGTCCTGAGGGTGATGAAGAAACAGAAAAATACTTTGCATTTGTGTAGTCAGTCCCAAGGCACTTGCCCCCACATTGAAATTGCAGTACACTAAAGCCATATTGCTTTAGACATCCAGGATCTCATAGGCCACAATCTGTGGAAAACCTGGGACATGAACTCAGTTTTTTTTTTTTTTAATTGAAGCATAGCTGACGCACTATATTAAATTAGTTTTAGGTGTATGACATAGTGATTCAATAACTCTCCATTGTGCTGTGCTCACCACAGGTGTAGCTACCGTCTGTTGCCATGCAAGGCTATTATGATACCATCGACTATATTCCCTATGCTGTACCTTTCACCCCCCACCCCGACCTACTCATAACTGGAAGGCTGTACCTCTTACTTCCCATCACCCATTTTGCTTATCCCCTTACACCCCACCCCTCTGCCAACCACCATTTTGTTCTATGTACTTACGTGTGTTTCTGTTTGTTTCAGACACCTTGGCCAGTATTCTTTCCCCTAAAACAAAGTCGGAGGAAGATTAAATAGCAAGGGTTTGAGCCTGGAGCTTCAGGTTCCTAAAGAGCCCATCCCACTACATACTTGGAGCCATCTCTTTTGTAATAAAAGTATCCGATAGGTGCAGTGGGACCTAAATCAGCCACTTGTACCATAAGCAGGGTGGTGTATAGAAGGAGCACTGGGGGAGGAGTCAGAAAAGCCAGTGTCTACTCTGAACTTCTTAAGAATCTTTCCTCTCTGCGCCTCCATTTCCCTACCTGTAAATAAGGATATGGAGTTTGGTGCTGGCTCAGGGGTTCTAGTTCGAATTATCAGTGGATCTCAGCCTGCTTCAGTGGGCAAAGAGAAGATGGAAGAACTGAGCAGAAGATAGCTGGCACCCTTCTTGAATCCCCTGAGGAACACCGAGGTCTGCCTGTGCCCTCTCTCAGTCTCTCTCTGTTCCCACTTTTCACTCTGCTCTATGGGTGTGTCCCTGTGTCTGGTTCTCAGTCTCTGCTCCCCTCCTGCTTCTCCACATTAGGGGCCTCCAGTTTCTTCCCCTCACAAAAAGCCCCTCCAAGCCCTGCCTGGTCCCCTAACAGCTTTCAGATGTGTCTCTGGAACAGTTCTACAATTACAGCTGGGACGGGCAGAAAGCGCTTGGCCTTGTGACTTTTGACCCAAGCCTGTGAGGTTGACATCTTCCTCTTTTTCCACCCCTCCGCCCACACCGGCAGGGTGGCCTGAGGCCTCCTCCATCCCGAAGCCTCCACTGACACGTTTGGTTACTCTAATAACACAAATAGAAGCCACCTTTTAGGGAGCAAAGATTGAGCCAGGCCTGCTCCATTGTTGTATCATTGAGTCTTGGTCCCAAACTTGTGAGAGATGGAGAATTTCACCCTACTTACAGAGGCTGAGGCCCAGATAATACTCAGCCAGCAGTTGGGGAAAGCAAGGATTCTATCCAGGTTTTATAACTTAGAAGCCTAAGACTGCTTCTTCCCCAGCATGCTGTTATTCTTGCTGCTTGGCTAAGCAGAGAGGTGACCCTACACCCTCTTGGTGGAGGAAATGTATTGCAGAAGTACCATGAAAACATAAGTGGCCAATGGGAAGTAGTGTTTAAAAAAATTTTCCAACTTCTCATGTTTTGAGGCTAATTCACATATTCCATTCACTACATCCTTCCATGTTTCCCTCAGTTGAAATGCATCTCCTCTTCTCCAAGAAAGCATTTTTTTTTTAATGTGCACTCTTGTACAAATAAGTGCTGTTTACATGGTCTTTATAAAAATCTGCAGCTTACAAGCCACTTCTCACGTATCACTCTATGTAATCTTTGAGACAGTCATGCATTATCTCTACAAGTATCCCCATTTTGTTGAGGTAGAAATGATTAAGAAATGAGATGTGATGTGCTCAGATATTTACCGAGTGCCTACTATATATACCCAGTACTGGTAAATGCCAGGAGATTGTTGTACTCAAGCCGTGAAGTATACACCCTCTGGGAGCTGCAGGCTAGGGTTTGGATCTTGCCTCTACCACATTCTAGATGGGTTGCTGTGAGGGTGGTAACACCCAGTACTGTCCTTACCTCCCTACTCTGCCACTTGCTTATTCTCACATCCTGGATTTTCTTTGTGATCTTATTTCTAACCCCTCTGCAAGGCTTTTTGATCACAACTCCCCCTGTGTAGCACTTAGAGATGCCTGAAGCAGAGAGATGAAGTAAGCACAGAGAAGTGAAGTGACTCAACCAAGGTCACAGAGAAAGGGAGTAGAATAGAGTGTGAACCCAAGCCTGGCCATCTCCAAGACCAGGCTTCTTCCTCTGTCACCCCTGCTTCTCTTGACCAAAACGGTACTGGATGTAGTAAGCACTAGAACTGAGCCCCACTCACAATGCTGAGATACAGCAGGAGGTGAGAACACCCACATCACAGTGCTGTTGTTCTTCTACCAGAGGCAGAAGCCAAAAACCCCAGCAAGCAGATGAATAGATTAGTTTCCTTCTGAAGATGGGGCCAACATAGCCCATGTTTAGGCCTCTTAAGACATATATTTTAGGTATAGGCCAGCACTCCAAGCCAGTTAATGAAGGACAAAAGGTGGAATTAGATTTGACAGTGTGGTTAAGTGTATAATCTTTGGATTGAGGCAGACCTAAGTTCTGGTCCCCTGTTGCTACTTACTTAATATGTAATAAGAGGTGAATTACTTGACCTCTTTGAAACCAATGTCCTTATTGGTAAAATGCAATCACAGTATATGAATAAAATAACTCATACAGTATATGAATAAAATAACTCCTGGCACACAGTTAATGCTCAGGAAGTGTTTATTAAATGGTTGAATGAAAGAACATGTAAATGAGCATGTCCAGCCAAGCCAGATAGCATTGGGGTTCAGACTGCTCTGTCCCCAAGTAATTGTGAGACCATGGAAACATACAAAATCAAAGTCTCAGTTTCCTTATTGGAGAAGTGCAGATGATCATAATCCCTGCCTTCCAGGCTTGCCTACTTGTAAAATAAGAGTAAATGCAGTAAACATTGGGGTGCACATGCCCCTTTGGATCACTACATTTTTATCTTTGGGGGAAAAAAAAAAGAGAGAGAGAGTGAGAGTAAATGCAAAGTGCCCGGCAGCCAATTGGTGCCCAATAATGCTTTATTGTTGCTGTTTTTTTTTTTCCAAATCTTTTCTCTCGCAGCCTAAGCATCCCTGAATTGTTTTGGCCACTGCTCCTTTACTATGATTTTGTGTTGCACCTTACCACTTCCCGGGCCTTCTCTGAAGTCACAACCCTGTGCCCTGTTTTCTTGTTATGCTGCAGGTTCACTTTGTATGCTGTGGATACACGAGGGAGGCACTCAGAGCTCAGCACAGTGACCCTGAGAACGGCCTGTCCGCTGGTGGATGACAACAAGGCAGAAGGTAGGTGACCCATTTCTTCCCTTCCCAGGTCACTCCCATATTTCCTCTAAGTTCTACACCCAGTCACTAACCACTACCCCTTTCCTGCCTCATACACCTCTTGGCACCGAGAGAAGAAAGTGAAGGGACTAAGGGGACAGGAGGAACATGGAGCTAAATTAATCAAAGCCATGAAGGAAATTGAGATGGACCAGCAATATCTTAGCCAGTTGAAAGACTTGCTCCTCTTTCATAGCGTTTGTCTATGTTCTGAGGTAGAGGCAAGGAATGGTAGAGAGTTAGAGCCCCATGACTATATCGTGCCCCTTAGCCTAAGCTTCTTAGAGACCAATCACTTTTTCCACTTCAGTCTATGCTAGAACTGGCATATTAGTGACAGTAGAAGACCACTCCACCACTAAGCCCATGGTAGATAGCATTAGCTCATCATAGCATGCATCTCCATCTAGCCCAGGGGTGGCCTCAGAATCCTCAGCATAGAGCTACAGTCAGTGACTGTTGATGAGAGGTAGCATGCAGGATTAAACCTTTCTGCTGCTCCTGGCCCATGAAGTTATAAACATCAGGCAAAGTACCTGAAAAAAAAAAAAATAGAACCAACCAATTAGATCCACCATGTACTTAGTTCTTAGCCAACCTGTAGATATAGTTTCTACATCAGGACGGGCAAAAATGCGGTGATAGATTGTGAGTCCTGATGGTTCACTTCAAGTTGAGCAGATGTTTTCTAAGAGCACTGGTGTACAAGCAATGCAGAAGAGACATGTTCTTCACCTTTCAGGAATTCACGTTCTAGTCTCTTTCTCTCTCGAGAGAGAGAGAGACTGACATTTCTACAAATGGCTCAATAATACATGCTTTGCATCTTATCAGACAAGAGGAGATAGTCCTCCTATTGAGGAGCTATCACGTCTCAGAGGTGAGGGGATGTGAGATGGTTTCCTGGTCATATATTATCATCATAATCATCATCATTATTATTATTTTAAAACAACACATGCATGTAGTTAAAAAAAAGAAAAACCAGAGTGGAAATACTGCAAAGTAAATGCTCTTCCCATCCTAAACTCGAGTCTCCCAGATTCTTCTAGAGGCAATCGCTGTTAGCAATGACTTGGGGATGTACATACATTTTGATTAGAGTCTTCACAGGTGAAAGAATGGGCCTTCCATTCAAGGGAGCAACCCATGATGACTCTAAGTTACATCAATTAATTACTAGGAATGACTGAAGGAGTAGAAATTGCCATGAATTACCATGGATTTTCTTTGAAAGACTTTTTAATGGAGACCTATTAGACCTGATCACAGAACTGTGTTGGAAATATTACAGAGGGGAGACAGAAATAGAGTGTTGAGATGAGCCCAAGACGGTTGATTTAAGCCTCTACACTTGTTTGGAATTTTATGTTAAATCATGGGTACCAAATGTATGTTAATAATGAAGCTTGCAAATTATGAGCACTAACTTTGTGCCAGGCCCTGTGTTGAGTACTTTACATTCACTGTTTAATTTTGTCCTCCCAGCACATCTCCAAAATAGACCTCATTATTTTCAGCTGATAGATAGGAAAACTGAACCCACCTAGTCAATGATGTTCAGGAGGGAATTAAGGTCTGTCTGTCCTCGGATACTGCACATGTGAATTCCAGCATGAGTGTGCCTTTCTTGCTGCAAGGCATGTTTCCATCCTCACTTTTTCCTGCTGTCCAGTGATCTGTGCCTGCACTTCTCCCCCTTCAGAGATAGCAGACAAGATCTACAATCTGTACAATGGGTACACAAGTGGCAAGGAGCAGCAGACTGCCTACAACACACTGATGGAAGTCTCAGCCTCAATGCTGTTCCGAGTCCAGCATCACTACAACTCTCACTATGAGAAGTTTGGCGACTTTGTCTGGAGAAGTGAGGATGAGCTGGGGCCCAGGTATGAAGGGGTGTGTGAGTATGAGTGGAGTGGTCTTGCTTCTATCTGATTTTACTGGACCCCTTCTTCCATAGGCTGAGAATGGGCTTTCTCAAATAAATAAGGGTGTCATCCACCTTAGTCATGTCAGGGTTAGAGATGGAAAATGGGCAGGGAGAATGATAGAATCTCAGAATTTTAGCTTCTTGGACTCCTGGAATGTCAGAAAAGAGAGAGACATCAGCGCTCTTTCCCTCAATCACTCCCCTCACCTACCTTCCATCTTCGGTGTTAGAGACAAGAACTTTGGACTCCTGGAGGAGATGTGTCCTAAGCAGGATCATGGAAGGGTATAGTGGCAGGGTCATGGCCCCAAATCTAGGGCTCTTCCCACTCTTTCATAAGAAATCTGAGGTTTTCTAGGGGCACCTGGGTGGCTCAGTCGGTTAAGGGTCTGACTCTTAATTTCAGCTCAGGTCATGACCTCAGGATCATGAGATCAAGCCCTGTATCAGGCTCTGCACTGGGCATGGAGCCAACTTGAGATTCTTTTCCTCCCTCTTCCTCTGCCCCACCCCCCGACACACTCTCTCTTTCCCTTTCTGAAAAAAAAAAAGAAAAAAAAAAGAAAGAAAGAACTCTGAGGTTTTCTAGAATGAAGTCCATTAGTGACCGTGACTAAATACATTCCTAAATCCAATGTGTATTAAGACATGATTTTTATCACCAGCTGTGACTGTACCAAGCATTGTACTAGGCACCAGGGAGGATTCAAACATAACTAAGACACCGTCACTGTCTTCTGAAGCTTCATAAAGTAGTGTATGAAATGTGGCTGTGTTTCATGCCTTACACCTAACCACATTCATTCATTCATTCATTCATTCATTCATTCATTCATTCATCACTTACTTAGTAGTGCCTCTTACCAGTTGGTTGTTGACCATTCAGTGACAAAAAGGGAGAAGCCCACTGTTGGAGGTAATTAAACAAGCACTGCAAGGAATAGGAATAATAAGTATAATGACAACAGAATAGGGCCCTCTGGGGAGACAAGCCATAGACATCTCGTCTAGGTAACCCAGGGAAGCCTTCGCCAGGGCTGAGACCGAGGGCCACAGAATGAATAGGGGTCAGACAAGAAGAAGGACAGGAGGATTGGAGTGTTTGGGGCAGAGTGTTGAGCTGGGGGAATCCACAGAGGAGATAATGTTACATTAGGGCAGGGTTTCCTTCAAATTTTCATCATTTGTCTGCCGCTTTTATGATTTTTGACGTATCACCATACCCTAAGCACTTTTTATTTTTGGTATTTCTTAGATTCACTTCTCATTGAAAATCTATTTGAAAACACTGTTGTTTTTTTTATAAAGGGAAAATTAGCACCATCTACCTTTAATGGAAAATTAATTGTAAACATTTGATACAATGGAAGGGAAACAAATGGACAAAACCAGAAAGCAATGCTCTTCATTTTTTTTTTTTAAGATTTTTATTTATTTGAGAGAGAATGAGAGACAGAGAGCACGAGAGGGAGGAGGGTCAGAGGAAGAAGCAGACTCCCCGCCGAGCAGGGAGCCCGACGCGGGACTCGATCCCGGGACTCCAGGATCATGACCTGAGCCGAAGGCAATCACTTAACCAACTGAGCCACCCAGGCACCCCAGAAAGCAATGCTCTTCAATCCTAGTAGAGCCTGAGCCGCTCAGCGGGGAGCCTGCTTCTCCCTCTCCCTCTGCCTGCCGCTTCCCCTGCTTGTGCTCTCTCCCTCTCTCTGTCAAATAAATAAATAAAATCTTTAAAAAAACAAAAAGATTAGCAAGTGTTAGAGAAGTACTGAAGACACAGTCTCAAACTGAGACTTTTCTTTTTTAAAGAAATCCGGAGGAGGGGAAGAGAATGAAAAAGAGAATCTGACTGCCTTTCCCAGCGTGGTTCATTGTTGTTTAACGCTGGGTCTGTGATCGTCTGGAGCACCACCTAAAATCCTTTCTCCTGCCCCTGGGGAACTCCTTCTACACTTTGGTAAACACTGGGTAGAGGAATTGAAGAATTTCCCTGTAGTTGGAGCAAAGTATGTGACAGCAGGAGTGGTAAGGGATAAGGGGAAGGTCAGCAGGGGCCAGTCCTGAATGCCCTGTAAGTAGGGTTAAAGAGTTAGGATTATCTCCCTAGAGTAAGGGGAAGCTTTTCAAGTGTTTTTCACAAGAGGGTGATATTGGCAGATCTGAAGGGGGAGAAAGATCCCTCTGACCGCAGTTGGAAGTTTAGACGGTCGGTCGAGAGGAGTCAAGACAGGAGGGAGGTGGTGAGGCCCTTGGGGCCGATCTTTTAATAACCCAGGGGAGATGGCGTTCTGCAGTAGGATGGCACTGATAGCATTGGAGAGAATCACCTGACTTCCTGAAGAAGTACTTTTTAAAGCACTCTGTGCTTTAAAAAGCTTTAAAATTTCCCTGTAAACTGGGCAAAGTAGGGTATTCTCATTTTGTGGATGATAAGGAATTGGAGGCCCCATGAGGTTAAATGAGCTGCCCATAGTTGCACAGTTTGATAAGGAGGCTGGTTCTGCCCTGAGGACTCACCCTGAGCCCTTAGAACACTTGGAATATCCCTGCAAGGATTTGAGGCCCCCAAGGGAACAGACAAGAGCTTGGTCAGGGATAAAAAAGATCTCTCCCTGCAACAGACCTTATCTGCCCATTGGGTCCTGGACTGTAACTTTTCCTCTTTCACATGAAAGGAAGCTTCTTTAGATAAAAGCTAAAAGAGGGCAGACAGGCAGAAGCACAGAGCCCCAGATGAAAGCCACTGTGTGAGTCATCTGGGCTGCCATCTTGCCCATGGATAGGGAAAGGCATCCCACTTTATTGGGCTTTCCCACAGGGCTCAGAGAGTTTGGGTGGAAGCTAAACCAGAACTCCACTCCTGACTTTGTCTTTATAGCCTTCTGGGTTCCTTTATGACCTTCCAGGACATAAATCTTCTGGAAAGGCTGCCTGGCCTCCCACAGAGGCAGGACAACCCACTTGGTAATGGACTGTGATAACCCACTAACCTCTGGCCAACCCCTCAGCAGTCACTGTCTGCCAGCCCCGATTGGTGTCACCCAGTTTCCTCCCTCCTCAATCTTTCTAGTCTCTGGAGGGGATATGAGATTCCATCCCACACTGGCATGTCAGCAGGAATCAAGATAGCTGCATCCTAGTCTATCCTAACACTACTAATGAACTCACTGTGCAACCTTGGGCTCTGGCTCTCTCTGGCCCTCAGTCTCCTCTATATCTATAAAATGATCAGGATGAACTAGGGCAGTGGTACTCTTTCTTTTTAGCAGTGGAATTTTTTTTTTTTCTGAATAGATCTTACGTAGAGCCCTAGGTCTTAACTAGAATGCTACTTTCTCAGAGAATCCTCTAAAATTTCTACCTGTTCTCTCAATCACACCTTCATGTTTTAATTTTTTGCATCATTCCTACTAGTTTCAGTATCTCATGTTGCTTTTGTGTTTACTGTTGTGTTTCTCTCTTTTACACTATGATGTCAACTTCTGTGTACTTAATGATTCTTTATGTTCTAGTCACTCTTGTAAGTGGGTGCTAAATAATTACTTGTTAAATAACTGGATAATGGGATGAGTGAATTTGTGGCTCAGATGGTTGCATAGTTTTTCTGGTAGAAGCTAGAGAGGGTGGCCTGGAGTCCCACCTGCTGGGTCTCTATTTCAAATCCTCTTTGCCCTAATCCCAAGGGACTCTTAGGTCTCTCTGAGCTCTTAAAGATCTGTAGGTCACAGTTGGAAACAATTGAATTCCATGAACTCTAAGGTCTTTCCAGCTCAAAAATAGCAATAAAAAAATGCATTGTCCTGGGCACCTGGGTGGCTCAGTTGGTTGAGCGACTGCCTCCGGCTCAGGTCATGATCCTGGAGTCCTGGGATCGAGTCCCACATCGGGCTCCCTGCTCAGCAGAGAGTCTGCTTCTCCCCCTGACCCTCCCCCCTCTCATGCTCTCTCTCTCTCTATCTCATTCTCTCTCTCAAATAAATAAAATCTTAAAAAAAAATGCATTGTCCTTGCAAATATTAAGAGACCCAAGGAGACCACATTTCATTAATTTATTTATTCATTGATTCTTTTCATGTGCTTACTATATGCCAGGTTCTGTGCTATGGGCTGGTAATGTATGAATGAAGAAGACAGATCCTGCCTTTACAAGGAGCAGCACCTAGTGAGGAAAAGTCTGTAGGCAGTTGCAGTGAAACATGTTATAAGAAGCATGCTATAAAAAGGAGGGTGGGAAGTTTGTTTTCCAGTAGTGCTTCTCCAGTTTGAATGTGCATGAGAATCCCCTGAGAGCCTTGCTAAAATTCAAATTGACTTAGTGGCTTAGGATGGGCCTGAGATTCTGCATTTCTCATAAGCTCTCAGGTGATGCCCATGTTGCTGGTCCCTATAGCACATTTAGAGTGACAAGGTTCGAGATTGGAATAGTTGGCACAGCTATCCAGACCTGGACCTCAAAGGAGGATCCATGGAGAAGAAAGCAAAATCTATGCCTAGCATCAAAGAATGAATGGGAGTCCTCCAAGCAGATGGGGGAGGATATTCTCATCCGAAGGAACAACCTGTGCAAAGATGAGTGTTGGGGTGGGTAGTTAAGAGGATATACTTGAGTCAAGAAGTACAAATCTCATTGGGACAGAGAGTTCAAGGTGAGAGGGGAAAACAAAACAAAAAAAAAACAAGGCTGGGAGTTCAGCAGAGGGCAGATCATGATGGCTCTTGTGAGTTCTGTTGAGGAGTTTGTTCTTTCTCCCAAGAGCCAGGTAAAGATTTTAAACAGGAGCAGTTTGGGTAAATGTGCTATGACTCTGTAAGGTTCACAAGTATGCATGGTTTCAAAGTGTAAAGGAGAGAGAGTGAGACACTGCCCTGGAGCCAGGGACCTTGGGTTCCTGTCCTAGGTTTGCCATCTACTTACTGTGTGACCTTGGACAAATTCCATTGCCATTCTGGACC